GCATTTTAACCTCTGTGCTACTTCAAGACCACTATTAATATATATATGGCAATCCCAGTTTCTCAGCTATAAAGGCCCCCGTGGCCATATCTGCCTCAAATGAGTCCTCCCAGCTGGCCAGACAACAGGCTGAGCAACAGGTCTCTTATCTCTAGATCTAGAACTTTAGGTCTCTGATCCCTGGCCACATCTGCCCAGAAGACTTTTCTGTGCAGCAGGGCAGTTAACCAGCAGAAGCAGGGTGGGTAGACAGGGCCTTGTGGTGGACCAAGACACCACAAAAGTAGAAGCCCCTGCTTTGAGTTTGTCAAAGTCTTTGTTTGCATAAGCCCTAAGATCTCTCCCTGTCTCTGCTAGAATCAGTCTAGAGGGTAGGACCTGGAGTTGTTAGCTGGAGATCAAGCCTCTCTTCTGTCTTCTTGTCTCTGTCCCTCACCGTGATCAAAAGCTCCTAAGTTGGGGGTCAGCAGGTGGCATGGTGGTTCAGGTGCTGGATCCCATATGACCAACTCTGCTGTTCAAGTCCCAGATCCAGCAGTTTGAAAAAAACATGCTGGGCGCACGTGCATGGGTACTCAAAATCCTGAGAGGAGAATGGAGAAGGCATTGTAGCAGGGTCATCCCTCTCAGGGATGATATCTCACTTTCCCTCTCTCTGTCTTGGTCTGTCTCTCCCCAGTGAGTGTATACACCCTAGCGGCAAAAAATCTTTGAAAATAAAAAAGGCTCCTAAGGGGAAATAAATCAAAATCCTCAGGATGGCTAAGAGTGGGTTGTATGCACTCACATGTACATGCGCATCAGATTTGCCTCTCCACCTAACTTTCTCCGTTCTGACTTCCACAAACTAGGGCACATGGTCCCTAGAGACTCGAATGGGAAGAAACACAAAAAGACTAACAGAATCAAGAGAGATACACACAAAAAGACAATCGGTCACAGTCACAGATACAATCACAATTCGTCCTACAGAAAAAGCCTTGAAGTGTGTTATTTATGTTCGGCCCTCTCCCCTTAAATTCTTTCTAGCTCTCTGCCACAGGGATCACTGCGATATCCTCACCTGCTGTTTTGAGAATAACGTGTCCCTAAATTAGGACTGTATACCAGCTGGGCAAACTCCTGCCCCCTGTTCCCCTGACATCCAGCCCTGGAAAGCAAGAAACAAAGGCTTGAAAGGGGCTTCAGAGTCCTGAAAGGTCTTTCTGGAACTTCCTAAGAGTGAATCTTCCCT